CTCCCTGCCTACCCCTGCTGCCCCCACTGCTCCCAGCTGACCTTCGCCGTTTTCTTCCTCCCTCGAAGGGCAAGTAGCTACTTTGGCCAGGTGGACCTCGTCAGCAGCAGGAGGAAGAAGACGGTGAAAGTCAGATGGGGCAGCAGGGGGCAGTAGGGGTAGATGTCAGTGGTGAAGTGCAGGGCAGCCAAAAGGGCAGAGATGGCGAGGGAGATAGGTGGGATGGAAGAGTTGAAGCAGAGGGAAGTATGGTGGAGCAGGAGAAGTATGAAATCCTTGCCTAATGACAGCATGGTCCTTGCCTAACAACTGCAACTGGGACTACCAGAACTGCCGTTGCCAAGTGATCATGATGTTTCACCTAATGACTGCTTCGTTTAGCGATGGAAATTCTGGTCCCAATTATGGTCATTAAGTGAGGACTACCTGTAAAAGAATCTTGCAGGTCTGAAAGTGCATCTCTCCCCTCTCACTTTTACAGTCCAAGAAACTAGGGAGGGTCCCTTCTGAAATGTTTGCCATGTCCCTGTTGCTTCTGTGGGCTAAGCTGCCTCTTATCTGACCATTGTCTAGTCTGCTACTGCTGCTCCTTCTATCTCTCAAAGACATTCTTACCACTACAGTATCTTATTACAGAAATCTCAGCAATTTTACCTTTATCTATAATCTGACTCATCCTCCAATATTGAGATCACTTATGCCAAGATTATCTGATTATCTTCAGTAGAGTTGATGGTACAGTGGAATTCTTAGTTAATTTCTCAATTTAGGGTGGAGATGATGTCATGGCCTGTGTTCATGATGATAATGGAAGAGTCAGAATACATCACTTCTACAATGTTGGTCAGTGGGCAAAAGAGATCCAAAGAAATCCTGCCAGAGATGAAGAAGGTATTTTTGAAAACAACCGTGTCACATGTCGATTTAAGCGTCCAGTGAAGGTTCCCAGGGATGAAACTATTGTAGATCTCCATCTGAGTTGGTACTACTTATTTGCTTGGGGTCCAGCAATTCAGGGTAAGTTGATATTTTTGTTTGCTTGATTATACTCCTAGAAAAAATTATGTGGTCTCTAAGAGTCAACACTGACTTGATGGCACATAATCAAATCAATCAATTGATTTTTACTGTATTATTACAAAACACATAGTGGAGGCTAAAATAAACTATACGGTAGGCTTGCATGGTTAAGATTTGGCATGATTATATGCTGATTTTCTATTATTATGAGGGGGAGAGACCTGGATAAGGTTGCTGATATATACTCATAATAAAACAACCAATCTGGTCTTAGGCAGGATTTGCAAATTGTGCCAAGCTAAAGTTTTGGCTTAGTGTATTATTATAAACAAATTTCTCCCAGTCTACAGCCCCACCCATATATGTGATGAGGCCTGACTAAATTTGAGTAAATTTAGGACCCTGAATTGTACTCCCAGTCAAGAGGTTCCTCATTCCTGGTCTAAGTCAAAAGGAATGACAAACCAAGAATAGAATGTGACTCTGAATGCAGGATAAAGCTAGGCATCAAACTCTGCATTACTGTATACTCAAAATTTGAGTCTCCTCTTCCCCAAAATATTCCATTTGTGTTAAATAGGAACCAGTTGGAGGAATATAAGCAGGTGATTGATCAATACGAATTTCCAGACCTTCTCCAATAGTATTTATTTATTTATTTATTTATTGCTTTTAAAATAATAACAGAAACAGAAACAAAAAGAAACAAAGAACAGAGGTAATTGTAATGCAAATACATACATTTTAAAAAAAAAACACATAAAAGTGCTTAAAAAGGTGAAAAAATGTAACAGAAAAAAGAAACGAAACAAAGTATAATATATCATTATAACAAGTTACAATTCTATATATACTTATCTAATGTAAATATTATTCAAGTGCTTATGTATCAATTTCTAATACATTTTTATAACTATCATTCTTTTAACCTATTATATTTTGTATAAATGAGTTCCATATCTCATTATACTTGTCCATACAAGGTCTACATCTATAAGCAATTCGCTCATAGATGGCAAGTATAATCAGGCCTTCAATCCATTGAGTGAATGGGGCCATACATTTATCTTTCCAATGCTGCAATATCAGTCT